CTTATACACTTTCAGTTTAGCAAAATAAAATGGTGAATGAATATTTTCTGAGTACTCACTGAGTAACAATACTCAGAAATTGTTAGTAGTACCAATATGAGTACTCATGGACGAATTATGAGTAAAGACTCATCGTATGAGTACTTTCACCAGGGTCAGCAGCTTCACCAGCAATCGTAGCTATTGTTGAAACTTGGTTATCTCCCTCTGTGGCAGATAAACGTCTATCTTTAGTAAATTATCAAACACCATTTAGAAAGGGTAGAAATAGACATGGAGCAGGTGCAATGCTTTTAGCTGATTTTACGCAATTATCAAAAGAAATCTTAGTTCTAGTGTCCCGGTTTTGTCCAGGAAAAAAAGCTTGTAGTGCCGATTCCGGTCCTGGTAAAGAAACTTTTTTGGTCCCGGTCCCAGTCCCGTCCATATCTAGTTACCGGCATATCTCCAAGTCATGCAGTTTTTAAATTTGCCTGAACTAGATCCGTCTAGGCAGCGTCGTCGTCCTGACGCTCAACCATAGACAAGACAAATTCATTGTCACAATTCCTATATGAGTCACGCGAGTTTAGTGCGGTTAAAGAAAGTAAATGATTTTGATATTTTATATCCAAATCAAAATTTATTTAGTTCAAACAAGTCGAGTTTAAATATATCAAAATTAATATATTCTGATTCTCTGCAAGCAATTATAATCCATGCTGCTGTAACAATTTCTGAAAAGAAATAGTTAATAAAAAAACGCAAAAATATTCTTCAACTGAAAAATGTAATCGTGCTCAAAGGACAATAATTTCAGATGAAAAAGAAGAACAATTCGTGTTTATACAGTGAAGTTTTCATTTCCATTTTCTTCTAGAAATTATGGATAGAAATGACACTATTATTCGGCGTTTCAGTGTGTCGTCCTGGACAGAAAAAGACAGGAAGAATAATCAAGCTGAACTCCAATATTATAGAGTTTTATCAAAATTTAGCTTAAATTTCAAAGAGTCCATCGGAAGTTCGGAAAGATACAGTCGAGAATTGTTCGATTCACTTGAAGCGTTGTTAAATACAGGTTTTGATATTAGTGATGAATTCGTTAATCATCTTCGACTGATAGTTCAAAATGTTCTTTCATTTGAGAAAGATGAAAAAGGTCAAATAGTGAACAATCGAAGACGAAAAACACGAATATCACCGAATGCAATGGTTATTATTTATAATATACTAAGATTAATTGGTTTTGATAGATACGAAAATTCAATAGACGCGTCGCTCTTTCAACACGATGGTCAAATTTTCATTTCGCCGCCCGAAGTAAACGAAAGTGAGATTATTCATGGAATGTTTGATTATCTTGCCATAGAAAATCGACCACAAATTATGCCATTGATAAATCTTCAACATGTGGTGCACAACCTCGATAATTTCATCCATATTCTACTATCAGCAGATAGCAGAGTTTCTTTCAAAGGTTTCCAACACCCAGATTGTAAGGGACCGAACCTTGTATGGATGTCACCTTTACATACACGATATTTGCCATCTCTCTCCGATTCTGACTATAATCCGAACGATTCTCGTTATGGGTGCTTTCGCTTCATTATTCCCTATTCAGTCATTCGAGAAAAATATCAAACCGCTTACATTTTAGGAGCAAGACAATACAGTCAAGAATCGACTCATACTATTCTTTTGACCGATAGTCACACGCACGTTCGTGGATTTGGTATTAATTATCCAAAACTCGACTTGAGACCGTCTGACAAAATTGTAATCAATGAGAGCTCAAATGAGACTATGTGGTCTTGTTGTCAGATCCACGATAACGCCTGGAATCATATTGATTTTGCAGTTGCTACAGGGGATGATCCATTATTCTTATCTCCTAAGAAAGATGGTGTTCGTGTCGACTTTGTCGACCATCAAAACTATTGTGTACAGTATAAACGGACTCTAACAGAGAACAGAACTTGTCCATTCAACTGGAGTCGTAAATATGCCATGAGACAATTTGTTCACAAGCTACGAAAGAAAAAAGTCGATCTAATAATATTACGCCCATTCTTTGACGATCGCGTATGGAACGAGCTAGTGGAATTTGCCTGATTCATTGGAAATCTACCAGATTCAGATTGACTTGATGTGAATAAAATAAAAATTTGTATAAAATATGCTGTAGATTGTAACGCACTGTCAAATGGCTAATTCAAGTTGAAAAAATTTGGAAACGGTCCTAATGGTAAGACAGAGAGAGAGAAATGCGTGAATCGAAAAAGCGTAAGATTTGTAACGGGTGACACTGAATAAACGACCCTCTTCGTGTTTTTTGCATAACATTTTTATTTTTGATCGTGTAGAGTTAAACTTTCTTTTGAAAGATTCGCCGTTTCATTCTCTACAAAAAACATATCGAAAATTTTCCTATGTACTGTAACAATAATAAAATACGGAGGAAACACAGTGAAGCTTCAATCTCGACAATTTTCTAACCCCAACAAACAGTTTTTCAATTTTAGCTCTTCATATTTTGAGATATAAAATAAAAGAAAATGGACTTTCTGTCGCCCCTAAATCGTACAAATATTCAATTGGTGGCATGAGCTTAGTTTATGTTATCATTTTCGTGATTAGGTAGGTTTATCATTGACAATTAATAAAACAGAATTGAATTTAACATTTTTGCGAGCGTGTTTACGTAGACAATTAGAACATTTATTCGTACCCATCTACTTACACTCTAAAAAAATCATAAATTAATAAACGAAAAAGGGTTTTCGTTTTGTAACTATACCAAACGGTTCGTTTTTCCAAACCCCTCGTGGAAAACGAAATCGTGGAGAAAAAAATATTAGTAAATAAATTTCTACAATTAGATTTAACTCGCGATAAACATGGGATAATACAGGATACTATTAATCCTATTATGAATTTTTGTAAATGTATTCTTCTATCAGATGATGAACAGAAAGCCCGTATTAATGGTTTTACATGTACTTATCTTCCTACATTCATAAACAGAAAGGATTTAATTGGTAATGTTGAGTATTTTTATACAAATCATTAGATTTCAAAACGGAATATCGTGATTATGAACGGAAAGATTCTGATGAAATTATTTCTTATAAGGTGGCACCTGCTCAAATAAGTGGTGCAATGAACTACGACAGATCACATATAAGTTTATTAATAATATAATATAAGACTGAAATAAAAATCTTTTGTTAGGAAAACAAATAGCCCGTAGTGTGAAGATCATTACTCAGTGTTTGAAATCAAAAAATGTACACTTTCGTTTTTTGGCTATGTTCGTCCGCATCATGGCTCACTCTGTCTGGACTACTATCCATTCCAGAAAATGGTGTCTGTGGGTATTCTGTTGAGCGGAACGAGATAGAGACGTATGGTTTTCAGTTCGTGAAAGTAGACGTCGGAGAATGTCGGACTTAAGGAAAGACCCGTTGTTACAAACGCTATTTTAAGTGAAAATTAAAACTTTCATCGACCGTCGTGTACGTCGTGTATCATCAACGTACAGTGAATGTAAAAAGTATTCGGATATTTTGAGAAAAAGTTTTGCAAACTCATTTTCTGATCTGAAGAAAGTAAACAAAAACGTTTTTGTTGTGCCTTCGGATAGAGCGAAATTTGGACTGCATTCTAGCATAGTTTAAAGCTTTTTAACAGCGTTATTTGTATATAAATTAAAACGCTTATTAAAGTTGATCGATTTTTTAACGTAACGTATTCAGACAGTTGAGTTTTATCAATTTTCTAGACAATTATAAGAAAGATGAAGACTCGTTCGTTATACGGCTCGAAAGAACAAACTCTGAGCTGTATAAAGGACAAAAAAAAATTTTAAAAATGTTTTAATCTGAGGGTTCAAAATAAAAATTTCAGAATATAACTTTTACCAAATTTTTTTAAACTCTTAAACTTGAACAAAACAAATTTTGAAATATACCATTCGGAAGAGCATGAAAAATTGCATCTGCTGCTTAGCTATCATTTTTAAAAAAGATGACGTATTTTTGTCTCTATTTAAAGCAGTTTTGTGGAATAAAAAATAAAATCAGTCCACTGATTGACGTTATGGTTTCTCATTTTACATTTCTTTGCTTTATATAGGCAGACATAGATGCAATCAGCATTTTTAGTAGTTTGACCTTTATCTCGAAAGTATAAGGATAAGAAATAGCAAACTATCCCAAGTAAAAAATCTTGAACCAAGATCTTGATTAAAACTTGAAAGATTTCTGAAGTTTCTGCTCAATTACTTCAAGGTCTTACGCAGATTTTTGGACATCTATCAAGAACTTGAGATCACCTTGCATTTGAAGATTTCGACAATTTTTTTACAGAATCTGCCTTGGAAAAACTTAATCAAGATTTGTAACTAATTCTAAGAAATTAATTAATTAATCATTGATTAGTTAGTCATTTATTTACAGTGCGAATAGTGTTTCTTATATATGCATGGGCACTGCAAAACAAAACGATGATAAAGACAGCAACAAGTATAATTTTCTTCATTAGATCTTTTCAAGATCTTGATATAAAATTCTCAAGATACGTCAGACTCAGAGCCGAAGTGATCAAGAACTTAATCAAGAATTTTCAAGAAGCAAAATCTTTAAAGAACTTGTGCAGATTCTCAATTTTTGCAAGACATGCGTATGTATGTACAGTAGATCTTTTATCATAGAAAGGAAATAAAACCGAAAGTGTACACTGTAAAGTCGGGAGTTATATATAGAAAATGCTTGCAATTTTTAAAAAGTCCATATATGAAATCCTCACGGATTTTTCAGGTTATAGAAAATGAAATGTCCAGTAATGTGGAAAATCGACATCGATTTTCTACATTGTTGGGAATTATTTATAGAAAATCTTCAGCAATTTTATATATGAACTTTTCGAAAATCAAAAAGTCCGATTATCTTCTACTTTCTAGAAAATGGTTTAGGATTTTCTTGATGGTGAGAAAGAACAATTTGAGTGAGAATGCTGATAATCAGAGGACTTGCAAAGTGAAAATGGCTGAAGATAAACTTTTTCACCGTTATTAAAAGTTACTGAACTTTGAAGTTGAGTGGAATGTAGTATTTCAGCTTATTGGATGACAATATGTATCTTTTCATAATGAAAAACAAATCCGACATCGATCACGTGTTGAACGACTATTATTTTATTTAAAAAATAAAGAAAATAAATGTGAATCGATAGGATCATGTCTTTGAGTTAATAGAACCAACTACATATTTTTGAAAGATGTTAAATTCAGAAATAAAAATGAGGAATATCAACAAGAGCGAATCGCTTTGCGATCTTCAGAAAGTTGCGGTGGAACTCGACTTTGTCTTAATCAGGCCTAACCCAAGAACCTTTTCAGCATCTCTCTATGATCTTTAAGTGTCATACAACTATAATACTTCTCGAAGAATATGCTGATTCGTAAAAACTGAGAAAACTTTCCGAATCTACTAACATTTCCGATGTTAAATACTAAAAGGAAATAGTAGAAAACCAACATTTTCTAAACAGTCAGAAAATCCTTGGCGATTTTCCAGATCGATTTTCTATAAAATAAAAAATAATTCCAGATTACAGTGTTCTGTAAGTGTTCTCTACATCTGTTTCTATTTTCTAAAGTATGTGTGAGATTTTTGAAAATGATCTTGTCGCAATGAGCACGGGCACGAATTCGAGATTTTGTTGTATTCTTCGATTTTGTAAAGTGTTGTGGTTGCATGAATAAATTGAGATTATGTGTTACTAGGGATATCTAGAGATGTGGCAATGCCTCGTCTTGTGTTATTTGTAGAAGAATCCGGATTCTTTTGTTCGCGATAAACATACTGATCAACAGTAGGCATGCAGTTTAAGACAGCTATGAAAACCATCGTCAAGTAGTTTATGTACTGGCGTCCCTTAACAGCCTTTATTTAACAGCTGATCTCGGATGCATTCGCAGGAAGATTCAGTCCCAGAGGAAATTGTTTGTGTGAGTTGCTGACGTTGTTTCGACCTTGTTCGAGGTATTTGTTTCGGTGGTTGTTCTAACGACTATACCAGTGATCATGTTCGCTGGCTAATTTGTGATAATCGAGCTCAGCTAACCTCGAAGAGTCAAAAGATAAGGAAAATTATCGTAGTTAGAGAAATGCAACGATCTTGTCGGTGATTAGTGCTGAAAAATCGTAAAAATATTTCCTGTTTTCTTCATTATTGGAAAAAAGTATATTTCAGTTTTTATCAAATATCAGTATGTCCATATCGAAAAAAGTATATTTTTGACATGTAGAAGGCTCCAACCAAAAACGAAGTTTCAGAATCTTCTATGTTAATTTGAGCTCGAGGAGGCTAGTCAGAAAGAAAACGTATAATAACTTTCGTTTTGAAGGTTTTACACAACGTGTTTTAAGTATATGTTACAAATCGGAAAAGTCAGAGTTATATTTATTAAGAGTGCGATCGTATATCACAGGATCTTGCGATCCTATATGATATACGATCGCAAGACCTGTAAACAACTTTGCATATGTAACGAAACTACCTTGCTTTTATATAGCTTAAGACCGTTGTAGATAAAATATATATTCGGCATTTAAATTTATAATCAAGGACAGCAACAATCTTCTTTCTTCATTCCCCTACTATTGAATATGATATCCGTAAAACTGTTTAAAACATTACCGTCATAAAGTGACTAAGTACATTATTTTGTTTTTCATCTCCTAGTCGATAGGCCAAATTCATTAAAATTTTATTATTTCTTAGAATCTAATTATATCTGCTGGGAATTGAAAGTATTTTACGTCAGCTTTTTTCCTGTAAAATGAACTCAAACGTGGTATACAGCACTCCTTGCAAAAGTTACAAAATTTAAGTCTTTATTGATTGGTCAGAGTGTGACTAATTATACGTCACAAAATGGGTAAAAATACTCCTAATATAACAAAAACGCGTGTTTTTATTTGTTCAGCTGGGTTTATTTTTAAAACAACCGAGAAAAAATCCCACAAAAAGTAATATTTGAATCTTTTCTACATTCTGTTAAAATTCTGCTAAATGCGAGAGCACAGTATAACAGCAGTTTCTAAGGAAGATTTTTTGCTAAATGTACGTGAACACTGTTTTTCTCAGCTAAAGGTATCCCAAATTTTCAAGACGTACTAGAGATTCCAACACAAATCTAAAACACGAAAATCAGAAAAACCTGAGAGAAAGAAGTAAAACAGAAAATCAGTAGACCTTATGGCAAAAAAAGTTCCAAAAATCAGGGTGTCGTATCACGAAAAAACTTAAGTCTAAGTTTAAGACCGACTTAAACCGTATCACGAAAAAGACTTAAGTTGGCGATTTGTTTACTTTTTAAAAGTCGTTGACAACAGTGACAAACTTCGGATAAAAACCCGCAAAATCACGAAATATTTATTCTCTAATCCATGTCGTTTCCGTGGAATCGTATCGTTAAATGCCTGATCTATTCAAAAAAATGCGTCAATGACTCAAGTCTGACTTAAGTTTTCGATCTTAACTTTAAGACTACATTTCCCATGACTTAAGTCATCCTTTGACTTATGTTTTTTGGTGATACGACCCCCAGAATTTTTCTGCCAAAATCAAAAGATCCGGGATTCCTGAGGCCTACTCACACTTTCTTCGGCTGTGTACACTTTGCCGTTAGGAACCTACACCAGAATGTCAGATAAGAGTGCGACCGGCATTTTGATAAAAAATTTTGTCATGATCGATTTTTCCATTGTGAAATCGTAAAAAAATTTTCAATTAGAATTTGTAATTCAATCAAAATTCACTTCATAATCAGATGTACAGTTGGAAACTCAGTGAAAATTTAAAAAGTCACAGTAAAAATTACAATGGAGTTCAGTTTTTCAACATGGAGTACAGTGGCAAGTCTGCTTGTCTACCGTGGTGTTAAAAACACTGCTGGTAACGTTTAATTAATACTCTCAAGTTGATGTTTTAAAAAAACAATTTTTGATACGTAGAAAAAACAACTTTTTTAATTGTGAGGTTCCAATATTCCACTCTGCTAGTATTCTGTTAGCTACTGTGAATTTATTTATGGCTCATATTTGATTTGATTTTCGTTAAAATTTAAAATTTTTTTCTTTTCGAATTCTAGATATGGATAGTTTTCAACTAAACGAAACCGCTGAATACTTTGCGAACCATCGGAATGAATCAGACATAAATATAATTGATAAATTTGAATATTTTTCCTGGATTTTAAATGATGATCGTGATTTTGGTAATCTGGCTCTCAGTAACATACGTGAACAAGGTCAAAAATATATCGAAACAACCATAGAAAAACTTCATTTGATCCAAAATGAATTTAATGAGAAACTAGACAATTTGGTTGTTAGAAATGGTCAGATATGCGATGAGAATGATCGCGTTCATGCATCAGCATTTACGGTTGTACAAGATTTATTAGAAAAAAAATTACAGAATGAAGCATATGATCGATATAAAGAATATGAACGGCTATTTCAATCTAGAACCGTACAAAAACCTCCGAAATTGATTTTAAACGATATTAATTTATCAGAACATTTTTCATTTGATCAAGTAGAAAATTATGAAAAAGAAAATCTGAACGTAAAAACAGAGGAATTAATCGATGAAGAAGTTGAAAATAAAGATAACATAGAAGAAAATCTGAACATGAAAGCAGAGAAGTTAATCGATGAAGAAGTTGAAGATGAAGATAACATAAAAGATTTGGAGGAATGGTAAGTAAACAATTGAGTTTGGAGGTTCACAAGGAAAAATGAGTTATAAACACGTTGGGAATTGGAAGAGACGTCGATAATCGCTCTTGTTCTAAATAAAGATAGACTAATGAAGCTACTTATTACAATAAACAAAGTTAGTATCGTAATATTCGTCATATGTATTTAGTCTTATAATATAAACGTAAAGCAACACACAGAGTCCAGTTGCGCCTTTCTCGTAAACTGAAAACAAATTAACGTTTGCTATACTCAACGTCAGTCGAAATACATTACTTCAAAAAAACACAAGAAGAATTCGAAAAATTGTGTATTCTATCTTAGAACAAGTTTGAGTTTTGAGAAAAACAGTTTGTAGAACTGAAGCTTTTCTGGATGATCTAAATAATAGCTAAATCTGTCTAAATTAGCGTATGGGTTATTTTTATTTTTTAGTACTACTAAATTGGTTAATGGTGATCACAATATATTTTCATCGCCGTCTAAACCTAGCATAGAATCATTAATAGCTTCGAATGAATCGGTGATTATTTTTTATTCAAAATTATGTGAACATGATGTTAATAATGCTACATCCAGTGGTTCATTGTGTTCCATTTCGATACAAACAAGTCAGATATGTGAATTGGAATGGATGGACGAAAATATTTTATCATTAGGTCATATTAAAGAGAATCTATTTTATATATTTACTCAATTAGGCTTTTGTCTGTTAAATGCTCTAAACGGACATATTGAATATCAGACAAAATTACCGGATAGCTATGCTGATTTATATGATGAAACAAGTAAACGTATCGGATTTGTGTTTGATGATTATATGTATTATATTTATGTTAATAAAATAAAACATACAATATTAGTAAAATGTGCATCATTAGAAACATCGAATTCAGAAGATACAATTAATTTAACGGAATTCTATCCTCATATTAAAAAATTTATTCATTTTTGTGTTGATAAAAATTATCTAACATTTTTGGTATTAACTAATGATGATTCATATGAATTAATCTATTCTGATCATGATCTAACAAAATCAACATCCGTTAATTTAACTAATGCTAAACAACCATTCGGTGTCGTGTCAACAACGATCAAAAATACAAATAACTTAGATGAAACAAATGATGAAAAACAACAATTATGGGTAGTCAATGATCCATATGCTAAAATATTGCATTGTATTACCGTTGATGATGGATATCTAATGTCAATATCACAAGTCGGTTATTCAATGTGTGTTTTTAATTCGATTCTTCAATTAACAGTTGATAGTGATATATATTCGCTCAATATACAAGATTATATTCAATCAAATTAAATGTATCGGTGCTTTTATCGTCCATTTGTCTTAGTAATAGAATAAACCGGTAAATTTAATCTCAGTTATATTTCCAGAATATCCTCATATATATTTTTTTTCTATTTAATTTTATTACATTGATTCAACATCGCGTGTGTGTCGCTCTTTGCCAAGTTTTTCTTAGGATTGTTTGTGCTTTTGCTCTTATTTTATGTGTTTTCTATATGATTATAAATTGAATACGTTGTGTCTGTACGGTATGTCAATATGACAGCTACTTTTTTTGTTTTTTTAATGAAATAAACGAGAATCATGATTTAGCTGTTTAAGCCAATGTTTTGTAGGCTGAAGAAAATACATAGCATTAGTAGAAAGGTTTGATTTTTATTTCTAAGCTAATGCACGCTTTTACGAGATAAGCTGACATATTTTTTTCTGAGAAACAAACAAGAACTTCACCTAATCAAGACCCTCTACAACGAGTTCACTCAATAGAAAGAAAACCTGACCCACTTGTGTTTACCTCTTATCATGCCTCATGTAGCTTGCAGTACGTTTTTTCAGATTAAATTAGCAAAAAAGTCTCTAACTGAGTTGCTAAGCCATTCTTGTAATATGAAGTGACTTTTTATACTTATTACATGATGATTCTCTTTTTTTTATTCTTATTAATTATTTTTGAACAGCAATCTTTAAAAAAAACATGAGTCGACATAAAACAAAATACACAATGGAAAACACGCACAATGATCAGATTAACTTGTACTTCTTTATTGAACCTCTCGCATTAGTCGTCAGTTAAGAGCAGTTATAAACTTAATATCACAGTATAACATATTACTTTAAGTGTATACGCCTGCGAGCATAATGCCACATTAAATTTTGGAAATTTTCTTGTAGGCAATATGTTTTTGTTGTAGTTTTTTTTTCTATAAGATTTTTTCTACTTTCAATCGAGTTTGATTATTGTTTTCAATAGGTTTGACTTCGGTTTTGTTTATATGATTGATCCAGTATCAAGTTATCTGAGTTTCCTGTCGTTTATTAACTCCATTTTATTAAGTACAAAGAGTCAGTTTAGAGCAGCTATGTCAAAAAATGACATTATAAAGTATGGCGTATTTTTTATTGACAAACACACATGAATATGCATAGAGAGTTTAGAAATAACGGGCGAGGACAACGGAAGAACAGAGGAGAATAAATAACACAGACGACAAGTAAACAAACAATGAGCAATTTTTTCCATGCAACACTGATTTGATAAGGATGGAGTAAATTACCAATTGTTAAATAATAATTTGCAATACATGTTGATAACATCATTTTTTTCGACTGTAGAATATTAGAACATAAATCTGTTTATCGACTTTAGAGTGCATTGATATTAAGATTTCAGCAGTCGTTTTAATTCATGACTAAACTAACTTTTATCTTCTATGCGATTTGAATGAATACACTCCAAAAGAGAATACTCTTGAAATCGTTTAAGTGTCTCATTCTGTTTCTCTGACTACTGATGAGTGAGTGTCGTGGCGATAGTGTCGTTGCATCCGAACAACTGGTAATAAGATAAATCAGATGATATTTTTTCGTATACAAAAAAAGATTTTCTATCAGAGACGTAATAGAATCGATTAACGGTTGAATAGAAGGAATACCACACGTCGTAAAATGTGTGTAGATGTATATGAATGTATTTCGTTGAGAAGAAAGAAATAGATCCTTTCTTTTGAGCAGGTCTCACAAGTGTTTGCTGTAATTAGTTCATAAAAAAAGACAGTCGGTATGTGTCATTAAAAAGCAACACAATAATGTTGTTGTATTTCTCTTTGCGATAAAATCGTTGACTTCTGTTTAGAACATAAACGGGACTGAAACCCGATTTGCATTACATTTGCTTTACGAAACATGGCATTAATGGAGCTAAAGTGGAACTGAGAGTGACTGAATGTCACTTTATGCAGCTAAGTAACAGAAAAGCGAGCGAACTGACACTTAACGTTTCAAAGTGTTACTCGAAGTAACTCTGTGACTATCAGTCTGAAGTAGAGATGTGCAACTTGACCCGTACCTGACCCGACCCGAAGGCTGGGTACAGGTACGAAATTGTCGGATACGAGTAGAGCAGTTATGGGTACGTTTTATTTTTAATTTACCCGAAAATCGGAAGGTTTTAGTGGAAAACCCACAAAGTTTTAGTGAAAAAATACAGAAGTTTAGCTAAAATACTTGAAGGTTTAAAAAAGAATTACTTAAGAATGTAATGATAATTTGACATCTTCAGCCGACAAACAAAAGTTTTTAGCTGGAAAACAAAACGGAGAAAATTTTGAGGCATAAGTGGGGTACGGGTACGGGTACGAAAATGGTACCCGTGCACATCTCTAGTCTGCAGTTTCAATCAACAATTTTTATCATCGATTATAATAATGAACGAATATGATACTTAAATAACAGGAATATGGCAATATTCAATGACGTTATTAAATCAATTTGTTTAAAATACATTTATTTTCAGTGACTCACTCGAATTGATATTTCTGTAGTGAGGAACACATCTACTTAAAAAGAACTTTATGCACCTAGAACAAAGTCAAATTGCTAATACTTGTGTCAGACGAAATTTTATCAAATTTGGGCATGGTCAGCTAAGTCTGCTACTGCGACGGAATTCCGTGACGGTTTTACTTCATTTTGTTGTGTCGATATATATCAAACCGAACCATGCAGAGAGTCACGAGACGTCTTAAATTGAAGAAAAAATGTTTTATTAAGATTTTCAGGAAGAGGCATTTTCTAGAGTGTAGATACATCTTAAAATGCTCACAAGACTTTTCTCTTCAATTTAAGACATCACTCGGCTCTCTGTATGGTTCAGTTTGATATATATATCGACACAACAAAATGAAGAAAAAACGTCACGGATGCCATGCATTTTTTAATTTGCATACCATCGCTTGAAAAACAGTTAGAAATTAAATGGGGTTAGAGCAGGGGTGTAACCGGTATCAAAAATGCGATACCGGTACCGGTCACCGGTATACAAACTTCGTACCGTATGTATACTGGCGACCGGTTTACCTGTCGATATCGGCTTATCTTGATCAAATATTTTGCCTAAATACAAATACTTCTCCCTTGTTTTTCTTTACTGTGAACTTTATTTTATGTTATCAGAGGGATAGATTAATCTTTCCACTTTGACTATGTATAGCTGATTTTTCACGCGCTTTTTTTACGAAAACAGCAATCCAATTCAATCTTTTAAATTAAGAAGTTTATATAAGCCGACAAAGCTTAAGTAATTGGAATGAAATTTTAGTGGAAGAAATATGTCACAGACAGAGTGCCCAAATCTCCGGATTTGACCAGGAGACGCCTGATTTTTAGACTTTTGAAAGAATCAGATTTTCAATTGTTTTCCTGTATCGATTTTGTTTTTTTCAAAACAGATTATCAGTTTCAGAAACAGAATTTCTGGATCAAGAATCTACATAATTGTACACTGAAAGAGTCCGCTGTGTGCTTATCGAATGTTTTCATCTAAAAAATCCTGATTTTCCTCTGATTTTTTAGAAAAAAATCTCCTGACTAACTCCTGATTTTTAACGAAAAAGCTCCTAATTTCCAAAAATTGGATTTGGGCACCCAGGCCACAGATGAACTGAATTTACACGATACTTTTCGAAAAAAATCATATCATACCGCAAAATACCAGCAATATTTGCCGACATACATACTAATGTCGGTATACCGGTCGGCGTTAAATTTGTACCGATACCGGTTGCACCTCTGGGTTGGAGCCAACAGTTGACAGAAACAAAATTTAAGAGAAGCAATTATAGTTGACGAATAAAAATCTGTTTCTTTATTTTTCTACGTTTCGGTCGCTTCGTAGCTTAATGTATATCTCTCTCGAAAATGGCTCTAATAAGAGATCGAAACGTAGAGTATTTTGTCTAATAAAGAATAAATTGATTTTCATTCGTTATATGCTTTTCTCAAATTTTATTTATTTTAATAGTTCAATTCAACGGTTTTTATGGCTGGATTCTGTGAGAGAAAGCACTTCTGTATATATCTAACTCATTGTAATAATTTTTAACTGTTTTTTTACATGATGATATGGTGCAAGTTAAAAAATGCATAGTAAAACTCTTTTTCCAGTAAAAACCCAACACTTCAACAAGCGTCAAAAACTCGACTAAGTGATGGAAAATGCTTTTAAAAATTTTCTGATACGTTTTCAGTCATAAAAACTCACATCGACTGGGAGCCAAAAGCATCGAGTACGTGCCCACCTCTTTTAATGGCATTTTTACACTTTTTGGCTCAATTTGGAAGTATCTCAAGTATTATATTATTCAATCGTATTCGGTTTTTGAAATTCATGCGTTGACAAACGGATGTGCTTATAAAATAGTTTTTCCACACTCAAAAGTAAAATCAAGAATGTCCTTGGCTTTTGACACAATATTATTGGTCATTTGATGAATATGTTGTCTGTACCATTGCTGTGACTAGGACAAAAGTGAACCATATGCGCACAAACTTCAAACGTAGACAGAAATCATATTACTAGAGAGTTCAGAATGATTATACGATCATAAATAGAGAAGAAAGCTTTTTTATAACAAAGATTGTTTTAGATTAAACTGACCTCTGAAGTTCAGTTCAAGTTGGTTCCAGTAATACTACTTTTCTTATTACGATAACAGTAGCTTTAAACATGATATTTTTATTTCAATATTAACGTCAACGTTTTGCTGTTTCAAACAGCATTTTCAAGACATAGTATGAAAATGAGTCTGACAAGACTCTTTTGTAGAATAAAAATGTAACAGCATATTTTCAACTGAAATATTTTAGTGATAAGGCTGTAAACATAGCTTCTGTTAATAATCCATAGTGTACTGTACGTATAGTACACTATGCCTGTCTCTCCGGTGGACTAATAACGTTTGACTTTGACTCTTGATTTCGATGAAAGAAGTCCTTCTGGGTATATTATTAATGAAATAGAGTATGCACTGCGAAAAAAAAGTGCCACCTTTGGTGAGGTTTAGGGCACATGGAAGTGCTCTGCTTTTTGTTGTCACGTTGACTGTGGCGCACTTAGGGCACTTTCATGTGTCCTAAACCTCATCAAAGAGCACTTTTTCCGAATTCTTCAGAGGTTAACAAAAAACTATATTTACTTTTTTTGTATGTACTTTTCTTACGGTGTAGTTTTGCACTTAGATGAACGTAAAACATTGTACGGAAAAAACTTCGATATAATCAAAGTAGATCTTTTTCGAATATCGACATAGAGATGTGTGGAACAAGTACTTTGTGTTCAAACTCCGACAAACTGTCGAAGCTTATCCACTCAGTAATGTAGACATATTAAAAAGATTGAACAACAATCGGAATATGAAGAGATCTAATAAGAATAAGATTCATTGAAAAATATTAAGGAGCGTGTTAAGTAAGGGTTTACTTTCTCACCAAATATAATCGGGATTGCAAGCAAAAGTTTCTTAAGAGTACTAGATTTAGCGTCATTTTATCTCAACACCATCGACCACCTAATTTAAAATAAAACTTTTCTAGGAGCACTTAAAGGAGATGAAGGCCAACCGGTATTTCTTTACATCGTCTGTATCGATTAATAAGTGTAAGAGACGAAGAATTAACTGCGAAAAAGAAATTGATAGAAGCAGAAAAAATACTTCAAAATATTTTAAAAATTTTAAAATTCAAACAATCTAAAACCATCCCATCTCCTATTTGATCAACACTGCAAACAATAACTCAAGAAATTGTATCTCAGCAGACTATTAACCTCATTGCAGTACAGTCAGTCTTATTTAATGAATTAGATCACATTTTAGACAAAACTAATTTTTAAATCATAAAGATAATAAATTCAACTTATCACAAAGTTGAAGAGTTCGTTGTCTTTTTCACTACTCGAGAGGAATAGTCTAAGAGAATAAAATGTACATCGTTTTGTTATCATCTAATGAAAAATACAAAAATTACAATCCTCGTTAAATAAATTAAACTATATAATGAAAAATAACTTTTTACATTTATCTTAAATCAAATGGAATGTATACAACGTGTACATATAATGATAGTACTGAGTAAAAAAAATGTAAGAAAGAGAATCAATGTACACAGTAGTGATACATCATAGTTCTCTTTTTCTATTATCACTCCTACGGTTTAAATTTTTCTGAAAAATAAAGAATAGAATATCAGTATCAATATTTGAGGTATTGGTCAAATTTTCGTTTTCTCTCTTAATCTGTCAAATATGTTTACATATCTCTAAGTGATTATGATTGGCATTTATTTATAAGATTTTCCAGCTTTATAACATTCTCTCATTTTCTATTAACAAAAAATAGAATAAGTTTTTGTATCCGTTCATTTTGTATCCGTTCTGTGTGGGTAAATCCTCCAAGTATTACTTTAAAACGTAAACCATAACAATAATAAATAATGGGTGCTACATTAGGTAAAAAGAAATCGCCAGTTATTGCTGCTGAGATTAATGATGTCAAAGTAGCAATAAATCATAAGACAACAACGAATGGAGCCGATGCTGTGACAATTACCACTGGTAGTAGTAAAAAAGATGCGAAAAAAAGTGTTTCTAAAATAAAAGGAACAATATCGAAGTCAAAAATATTGTCGACATCACGAGATACAAAAGGGACGATGAATGAACCACCAACAATTGAAATAGTAAAATTCAATGCTCCTAATTATGGTCAAAGCGCTGTGGCTAATGCGCATGGCATATTTTTATCCACGAATAATATATTTCAATTAAATGATGAAATGGCACAAGTCAACAATGCATTTGTTAGTGATAATCCAGTGATTGAAAATTGTGTTCAAACTTTAATTACGCCACATTATGAATTAGTTACTGAACAACATGATTCTGTTGCACCAGAAATACTTCAGTTACGTCAAGCATATGCTAATTTTAAATTTGGTGATAGTATCGATCAAGTTGAACCAACATCACCCGTCATACAGGCTGTATCAGTTGAGCATAATCAAGTTTGTCATCAAAGTAGTATCGATGAGATAAATTCATCACTACCGTCACTTCCAATGAATGAAGTTATTAATAATGACGAACAACAAGTTGATCAATATCAGCAACAACAGTTAAACTAAAAGTTGTAAGTATCAACTGTATTTTTAAAAACCTTATAATTGCAAGGTCATAAATAACACTAATGAATCATATCTAGAAATTATTTCAAAAATTTTTCATTTCTTGCTACACTGATGCAATAACTAAACCAATGATTATACACATATCTACGCCTCTTTTCATATCTTGCTAATGTATAGTTAATATAAAAGGCAAGATTTATTATGATCTGAAAATGATATTCTTTTGTTTCGATTATAGATTCATTGGTACTGCAGCTAGTGTGCAAAAAATTGAACATTTTACTTACAAAAAGACGTTTTTCTATGGTTATTATTATTGCTATTAACAATCCCAAAGCTCCTTGTTGATGCTGTTTATGGTGCCAAATTTTCTTAGTCGATTATTTTTATGTCACAAATTCGGTTGCTATTCTTTCTTTTATTTCTAAGAAAATAAAATATTACGCCATCACAAACCTATGCAACACCGCATTAAAAAGTTAAAAATGATTTTTCTGTAAGTCTTAAAACATACCTGTAATACACATCATATTTTTTCGATAGTAGTTTTGGCATCTAGTAAGGGATATTTGTATCAGGAACGATTGACGTAATTCTATAGGGCTTTTTTCTTCCAAATCAAAATTTGAAGCTAAAGACTAATGTCGTAATTTACTAAAAACCGCTTTCGTTTTGGCAAAAAATGCCATAAAAGAGATCGGATTATTGTCGGTGGATTCTTCAATTACCTGCTGCCAGGCATCAAAAGGAAAATTTCAGGAACAGTCAGGTTAGTTTCTAGATTTGGATGTCTACTTTAATTTTCGATTTTTGTAATTGTTACCAATTCTTCGATCTAGTGACATTAATAACCCTGCGACAATCCAATATTTTGAGCTCACATTTTTACTATAATCTACAAATTGTAAACACGTATAGTCTACAACAGTATAGTATGAATAACTATTGTTTTTTCCTACTCGTTATTTGATCAAAATAGTCTAATTTATCATAAGTATGATTAAAAAATTGTCGTTGTTGAGATCGATTTCGTCCACCCCAACAAAGACCATAGTGAGAGATGTCGACTGTTGAATACACATGCCAAACACCTAAACTACATTCAGGTGGCGTAATCTCTGGAAAACTACAGTTACTTCCGTTGGTTACTAGACCTTCCGAATGTGAATTGGACATTAAATGTAAGCTACGATGTTCGCAGTGTATATGCCGTTGAACGCGTGAACTTTGATCAATATTATATTTTTCTTCATATATGTTATTGAGAGGTTGTCTGCTAATCAGAGTACATGCATGAGGATGTGCTTGGGAGATGGTATTTACACAGCCATCATTTTCCGCCCAATCAGCATCGCAATAAGTTAAGCCGACAATTTGAAGTTGATCGTGTTTAGGTGTGGGACAACGGTATTGACGAATCGAATGAAATAGATGTCGAAAATAGAATGGTAATGTTTTAATATTTCTGTTTCTTTGGTATTTTAATCCCTCGTTTATACTGTTGGTTTTACAAGAATAGTCATCAGTTGTTGCGTACGATGTTGTGTACGATTGATAAAATGAGCAATTAAATGTACGAATATGTCTGTCTACTAACAACTTCATGCCTTCGATGGTGAGATCAAACGCCGCATTATCGGTCGATAATATTATTGGACTAAACCCAGTCAAGCCACATATTAAATTCCAAACACTCGAGATAAAAGCCAATGGTTGAAACGATTTGGCCAAATTCCAATGACCAAGTTGAAAATCAACTTTGGTTTTCAAAAATTTTAAATCTAGCCATTCATAAAGATGGATCGCACGTGTTAGAAAAGAACCTATCGATAAAACCTTTACAGCTCCCGGCACCGTTTCACATGAGCCTAATAGATAACTCACGGTTGTACCTAACATCGGTGCTGAAACACACGTAATGGAACGTATCCATGATGCTGACGTCTCATAGCCAGGAAAGAGCTGTTGTTCTAATTGAGATTGAAGCGCAAGTGAAGTTGGTCCACCGAGACTGTGACCGAATATATGAATGGGATTTTGTTCACTCCAACATTCGTAAAGACCATGCTCATAGATTTTTCCAAATTGATTATGTCCAGCTTTTTTGCTATGTTCGAGACCATAATCAACACGACCACCTTTTAGACAATAGAACAGCTCACGAGCACGATCCATAACAGAACTAACAGGACCGATCAATGCAGTGATCAGTGAACGTTGAGTACTACGTTCTGACATTGAAACAGCAGCTTGTTTCCATTCATGTTTGACACTCGTAAGAAAACCACTCACAAAAACCACGGGTGGAAGAGTCAATTTAGCCTGACGCGTTTCTTGCCCCTTTACTATCATTCTTGACAATTTTACTCTTCTATTTCCTAGACAACCATCTTTGACATTGATATACACGTTTTATAAATGAGGATCGTACAATGTTTGTCAACATTATGTTACATAATGAGAAAAAAGATAATAAAAGAACGAAAAAGGTACTTTGCCGTCTAAGATACACAGAACGAAAATGTTTTTTTGTTATTCCAAAAACCCGTAGACCAGATGATACTAAAAAATATGTAACTGATAATTCATGCTGTTTGACAATATAAAATAGCGAAAAAATAGCAATGTTAGTAAAAAATATGTCGTCTTCAGGAAGAAATGTAAAATTCATACCAGGATTAGGCATGCAACGGTTATTTTATCGGAGAAACTGTTTGAAATTTTTTCGAGCCAACAGTTATGTGCACAAATGCTTGCTCTACAAAATAGACATTGCAGACTTTCTCACAATGGTTGGTCGATGAGATACAAAGCTTTTACCTGAAAAACTGGGCGGTTATAATTAATTAATTAGTTAATAACAGCTCAGTTTTCCAGGTAAAAGCTTTGTATCTCATCGACCAACCATTGTGAGAAAGTCCGCAATGTCTATTTTGTAGAGCAAGCATTTGTGCACATAACTGTTGACTCGAAAAACTTTTAAAAAGTTTCTCCAATTTTTAAAATTACTGTCCCCAAGAGCCCCGATAAAATAACCGTTGCATGCCCAACCAGGATTCATTTATTTAGTTATATGGCAAGGTTATAATAGAGAAAACAATTGTTTCCTTCAAAATAGTATGCCTGAGCAAAGAAATATAACTGATATTTCAAATTGCATAGTGCATTAAGGAGAGTCCGACTAATCGCACCTAACATTTTCCGACATCTTCATGCCGATCAAAGTCCATAGTTGGACACCCGAAAATATGAAATTTCTCTTCATTCTTCAACACTGTTCAACTACTGCTTTGGATAATGCGGTTAAAAATTCAAAAATTCTAGCGAATCTCGAATGATTACTATTTAAAAATGCCATCATTCTTACTATTAAGATCCTAACTGATTCTTATCTAATCTTGAAAAAAATCTTAGGCAGTATAATCTTAGTAAGATCTTAGAAAAATCTTGTTAAATCTTAGAATTTTTGGGTCTCATGATCTTAGTAAGACTTGTCTGAGATCTTAGACAAATGTAATCTTAGCGAAATCTTACTCAGATTTTAATAAGATTCGAGTAAGTTTCTCACTAGAGAAAGTGCTGAGTTATTAAAAATCAATCAGCTACATTTTTTAACATTCAACTGAACTAGATTTAGATTACACCATAATCTAACAGTATTAATCTCGCTTCTTGCCGATGTTAAATCTAAGTTTGGCTTTCAAGACATAGGATTTAAAAAAATCAGCAAACGTAGAGGTAATAGTTTGGTCACTATGTAAAGACAGAAGATCACTTATAAATAATAAAAAAAGCATGGAATCCAAAAAGCTCTCTTGTGAAATATTGGAAGTCTTAAGAACACGATTTGAGAAAATATTTCTATTTTAAACTGCTGAATCCCATTTTCTAGATAAAAGTGAAACCGTAAGAAGATATCGTGTCAACACCAGCAGAAGAGAGTTTGATAAGTAGGATCTGAATTGACTAGTATTGAAATTAATGAAGCGAAGCTGTTCGACTACTTGCTTATTTAGATGAAAATATCTAAAACAGCTGAAAAACTCTAGATAGGCATATCCTCATTGTATGGATTATTATCAATGTTGACGAGAAATACTTAGGAGCCCAACGTTTTCTGTCTCATCCACGCTAATTATTCATCGTCATATACTCATCAGTTAGATCAAATTAAAGATACAGAATATTGGTACACAAAGAATTCTAGACCGTTAGAATGGATTTTATGTAAATACTATATCGAATAAAGAGTTCGAGAAATTTCTGTTAGACTTTGACTAGGAAATAGTCGGACTTGTCCATCTATGATTTTTATAGTAGAAAAGCAAAGTGTATAAAATTTATGTGATTGCTAATTTTATCAATAAATTAACCAATTTTCATATTTAGATATGAAACAATTTTCTACACATTCGTGGTCAACCATAGATTTGCATGTACTCAAGAGACAAATTGAAACATTCATTTCTTAATAAAAAAAATGGTAATTTAGCCTCTTAATTTTCATCATTCTTGATCTCACTTTATTTCTAGTATACAAGAAATCAGCTTAGTTCATTTTTCCTTACCTCATACCAAAAATATTGGCATTTGCAGATAAAACGCCACAGAATAGAGTTAATCAAGAATTTACTTCAACAAGTATTTGAGCTAATAATCATGATTACCCAGGTACAATCAATTTGTTTCAACGCAATTGTTGGAAGTTTTTTTGAGTCATCTTTGATTAAAAAATTTATCATCTTGGTTACGGCACTCAATGCCATGATTAGAAACTATTTTCATCGATTAAATTTCGTTGGACATGTCTGACTAAAGAAATATGACGAATACATGAAACGGTAGTACGTGACAAGTACTATATTTGTGACACATAAATGAACATCCGTTTCTGTCGGAGAGAAATGAAATTATGGGCACAGATGCATCTCGATGTGCTCTGTTAAATGGCACTTGACTGAAGTTTCTATCTTAAAACTCAAGGTTTAACTGACATCTTAAATTTGAACAAAAGCTCTAAAAAAAGGATTTCAAGACAATCTAACATTACAAAGTGTTCGACAGAAACATAGCAAACTCCTTCAACTGTTCAGTTTGCAATTGTCTATCTGATGACGTTTGAACCAAGTTTCTATAAGTAATCAGTGCTGGGTTATTTCAAATTTAAAAAAAATTTTTGATGACTGTCGGTAGGCCAGATACCACGGTTTTCTAGAAACCCTAATTACATGCATTTTGGAGAAAACTTTCCGCTTAATAATTAACAAAAGAAAAAGCATATTTTAAAACCTCTAAACACTGAGTTTTGGAATTGTATCTGTAGTGCTGTGGAAGTCAGGCTAGACCAACTTTCTGGTCTAACACGCCTATCTTCCTTCACTTCTGTTTAACAAATAGCCAGCTAAATCTCCATGTTTATCCAGTGTTACATAAATAATTACTGAGAATAACTCATTCTGAATCACGAATATAACTGAACGTCGTCGCACCAGTTTCAAAAGAGTTTATTGATCTCATTCTCTCTCTCTCTCTGTTTTTATTTATCTCAGAATGAACGTTTTTGTACTAAATTGAGTAAGGAAAATGATTATAATTCCTTATTTTTTTCTTCTTTCAACATATGAGACGTCAAGACAGATATATCAATATTATTCTTCATTTTGTGATGACCATTGATTCATACGAATGTAAGGATATCCTCTCTCTCTCTCGCCCGCTTTCCTATATAAAAGAAGACTACCTTAACCTCAACTATACATTACAATGAATATCGTAACTAAACTACGTCGATTCTGTTTCTTCGTAAAACTTTTAAATTTTGATATAATTATTGTTGCAGCTATTCCTCTTGTAACACCGTATTTAGCTGCATACGTCTTACTATCAGTGTCATTCACATTTTTAAAAAGTCTTTTTTATTTCTACTTTTATTATCAGCAAGAGCCATACGATTTATTGTTAAATGCTTTGCTTCAACAAGACTTCAAATTATTATTCTATATTTTCATCTGTTGGAATTCATTTTACTGTATTGCACGTCAATACTATGGACGTAGAATGGGTTTAGCGATGTCATTCTCATCGTGGAGCGATATGTGTTATTTATTTAGTTCATTAATTACATGTGCTAATCTATTTATCTGTAGGTCATAGACCAGTTTTTTTTGCTGATTCGATAGTGAAATTTGAAATGTTAGTATCTCAAATGCTGATTGGCTGTATACAAAGTTTTGAATTTGCAATCATTTATCTACAATACTTGATTACACAGGTAGAGTTCCAAGAACGAGAAATACGTTGTAGAGCAGCTTAGATACGTTGTCGAGCAGCTTAGAAACTCAAATTAATATAATTAATAAAATGTGGTTTAAAGTAGCTGCTGTATTAATTTCTACAATTCTAGAGAAAAAGTGTTTGGTTCTTTGTTTGAAGAATAGACTAATGTTTTGAATAAAATTTGCGTTCCTTAATATTTTTCACGTCTGTTGCCTTATGGTACAGGAAAACTTATTTGTATAACTCTGCAACGTGACGCCTAAAAATGGCGAATTGCTCTAAATGCTGAGATCAACGATTGTAAGAACTTGCTCACATGTCGTGGGAAAAGACAGGTCCCTTGCTATGATGAATAATTTTAGTTGTCCTTGACCAGGTGATCCACGTCTTGTAAGACCTTGCAAGAGCTGATGTTTTCTTGTGAAATCTTGTAATAAGATCTTATGATATGATCTTACAAGATCTTGTTATAAGATAGTTTTAATAAAAAAATTTCTCGCGCCGCAATGTGCAGTGCATGATAAATTTTTCTTTTTTGATATTTTTCAAAAAATCATGTTTTTGAAACAGCAGTTTCGGGGCATTCAGTCGACATTTGCATATGTCGATCAAAAATAGTGTTTTTTAGCTTATTTTAATATTATATTAAAGAGGAATGAATGGCACATCGCAGCCCTGAACTTTAAAACATCCTTTTTTTCCGAATGCTCGTTGTGGTCGTTTACCCAATTTGAGGAAATTCTATAGTTCTTAAGTCATAATACTTGGTTGAAACTCAGTTCACCCTGTACCACGAGAAAGAGCACTCAGAATTGTACAAAAAGGAGTTGCGTTAGCGATTTGTTTCATTTGAACAATCATAGAAACCATCGAAGGCTTTTTTTAGAAAAGTGCGTTAAAAAGTTGGACATGCTGAAGTTTCACAATTTTATTAGTTCAATTTTTCATATTTCAGTTTGAGATCAAGCATCCTTGTACATTCTTGTAGAGAATTGGACGGAAATCTTTTGGAAAAAAGTTCAAGTGTAAGCAATGGAAACTAAAAGAGATATTGACATCGCCATTTTCCCTCACTG